TTTAGCCCTGCAGGTGTGTGTTGTGAGATGGTGCATGTGCCCCTGCACCGATAAAACAGCGTGGGCAGGTAAATCCCGGCTGCAGCAGCCTGCCTTCCCTCCCCTGCACAGCATGGGCAGGGCACTGCTGCAGCCCCAGCCTGGGCAAAGTCCAGGGCTGCAATCCAATGCTCCCAATGCCTTTGGCTCCTCCACAAAGGTGTAGGCTACAGATACAGAAAAGCTGAGCTGCTGCTGAGAGCAGGGACAGAGACTTCTGCAAAAAGCAATTTGGTTTAAAAAATCACCTGGTCATTAATCCATCCCTTTGAAACAACTGAGCTCAGTCTTTGTCAAATCATGGCAGTTCTGGTTTGAAACAGTCATTTTTAGGTGGTGACCCTTTGCAGCGAATTTTCCAGGGCAAAAGAGCTCCTTTGAATGCAGCCTGCTGAAATGACAGTCCAGGCAAGGGAACCTCATGAATTATTGTGAGTTGAATGCTTTAAAAGCATTTCTTGTGTTCTGTCTAAAAAACTGCTCCAACCACCAACCCACTACATAAACCACAAAATTCAACACCTCCTTCTCTTCCACCATAGTGTTTGCAAAAACACAAGCTTGCCTACAACACCCAGCCAGCACATCCTTGTCAGGATTTACTCAGAGAAGGATGTGAAGGAATATAGGAACAGGGTAAGCACTGCATCCTTACTGCTAACAGCACAGCATGCTCGGGCCTAAAACCAGCTCATCTCCCCCTCTCTGAATTAAATGAAATAGAACCACAGGCAAAACACAGCTCTGAGCTTGGACTTCAACCTGCTGCACTACTCAGTCTGCCTGAGCATCTCCAAGCCTCTCTCTCAAGAAACAATGGAGTTTTTTAACCCAAAGCTCAGAAAACATTTTTTTCACCCCAGGGTTTCTCAGGCAGGAGTCAGTGTGCAGCTAATTACAGCGACTTTGTTCAGCAGAGCCACGCTGCCAGTGAGATGCTGCAAACCAGCGAGAATGTGAGATGGCTTTGATTTCTGCCTCCAAGAGCAGGAGATGAGAGGGATATGTTAACTCATTGCTGTGCTGTTATTTACTATCCAGAAGACACTCATGTCCTCCAGGAGCTGTATGCAACCAGACCTCATCATAGAATCACAGAATCTTTTAGGCTGGAAAAACCCTGTAAGACCATTGAGTCCAACCATTAGCTGCCAAGTCCACCACTAAACCATGTCCCCAAGTGCCACACTTTCACATCTTTTGAATCCTTTCAGGGATGGTGACTCCACCACTTCCCTGGGCAGCTGGTTCCATTGCCTGACAAGCCTTTTGATGAAGAATTTTTGGTGAACTTCCTTGCAGCAGTGACAGTTTTGGGGCATTTCTGGTGGTGGCTCAGAAAAAGGAGCCATCAGCCAGCCAGCAGCAGCAGCAAGGAGGGGAGTTCCAGAAACAAAGTGGATAAGGAGGAGCACAAAGAAAAATCCAGTGTTGCACTGGGCACATGTAGAATGTTACCTGAAGGATCTCATCATGCCTGGGTTTTGGTCCAGGAGCCTGAAATGGCAGCTGTAAGAGGTTAGAGTGTTCTACCTGTCATTTTGGACATGTGCTGCACTTGATTTAGAGCTCTCTTCAGTACATTCTTGCTTGGGTCAGCTCTGTGTGGGGGCAAAGAGCTGTGCCAAGAGGATTCTGTGGATGGCATTGCTCTGCCTCTCCTCCAGACCCTCCCCAGTGCTCACTTGCCTCTGGATGTTATGCCAAAAAAACCCACCTCCAGCATTTGATAAGGCAGCACCAAGGGAGGTGTCCTGCGTGCCCATGGCCTTGGGAAGCTCAGGGTTTCACACCTACACAGCACACAGGCACACCAAGGTGTGCTGTGCACAGCCTGCAGCTGAAACAGAGCTGTATATTCCCACAGAAATATCTGTGCATATAGAAATAAGTGTGGCTTTTCCAGAGAAGCAGCCTCAAGATGGATTTTCACATATTTATATGCATTTAGAAGATTCTCCCTCCCTTCCTGTGCTCCCCCCCCATTGTCACAAAGTCACACTCCCATCCCTGCTCTACTCCCTGCAGGTGCACTTTGAGCAAGCAAAGCACCGTGTGATTGCTCTGTGCCCTACATCCCCAGGTCTTGTCATCTGGCAGCTTTTCTAAACACGGCTTTCTTCCTCTCAGCAATTCTGTGGGGACCTTGAGAAGTGACTGCAGCAAACATGCCCTGGCACTTCAAAGTTGGAGGGCTGATGACTCTTGAAATGCACTTTTCTACTTGTCTCTTTTTTTTTTTGCCTCTATATTCCCCTCACACGTCTAACAACACCATCTGTGCTGGCACAAGCCCTGGCTCTGGCCTTGAACCTGTGCAAGAGAGTGATCTGGGTCCAAGGATGTTTTCAATATTTTCTATGATCAAGCAGGGAAGGGCAGAGACCTCTATGAAAACCCTTGGGAAGACATAAAAAGCAGTCCTGTTTCAACACCTCAACATAAAAATACTCAGAGATGGCCAAATTCCTCCCCCTAAATTTAGTTTTCTATCGCAAACACGTAGAAGAACCCACTGCCACACGCTCCTGTACAACCAACAAAGAACAAGCGATTGAGGTCTTAGGTGAGCTGGTTGTGTCTTCTGGCCATGCCCCTGTCCAAGGAACCAGCATCCTCAGGAAAGTGGATGAACCGGCTCTACAGCAAAATAAAGTCAGTGGAACTTGATGGAGAAAACCCAACCCAACATTTTGAACTCGGGCTTTTCATCTTTTATTTTCCACTCCTGGAATAAGAAATGTAAATTCTCCCCAGCATCCTAGCAGGAAACATGCTGTGAGGAACTCAGCTCCTAAACCAGCCAACAGGATGAAATTACAAAGCCAAAAATATCTTTCATAAAGGTCCTCATTCAGGAATGGGCTGAAGTACTCATTTCAGCTGGGACTGGAATGAGCATCACAGCCCCACTTGTCCTTGCTCAGGCACTTGTATCACAACTTCTTCCTTTTCCTTTTCTCCAGCTCTGGCTGCTGCCTGCCTCCTTCCCTCATCCCAGTGTCTGTGACCTTCAGTGCCCCATTAAAAAAAAAATAAAACCTCGTTTTACACCCGTCTGTGGGTTTCTCAGAGACAGGAGCCCACAAAACAGCGCGCCCACCCCACATTTAGAAATGTTTCTTTTCTCTCCTTACAAGACCTCCTTCCTTGTGTGTTCAGACCCCATTGCTGCTTGTGCTCCCTTTGTTTGCAGTGGATTTATGCCTCTCTAGGCACTCAGAGGCCTGGAGCCCAGCTGTGCCAGCGGTGGCCTCACAGTCACAACCAGCACCTGACTCCGCCACAGCAGCTGCACCTGAAACGCCCTCAGGAAGGCTGGCTTGCACACAGCCTGTGCTGCTTTTATTCAGCTCCTCTGCCAGCTGCCATCCAAATCCCCGGACTGATGAAATGTTAATGGCTGGTAATTCCCAAGGTTTACAGCAGAGGAAAGAGGCTGGACCAGGCACCTCCCGTGTCTACGCTGATGAGCTGAATTTCAGCCTCCTGCTTGCAGTCCTTTCCTGGTGCAGTTGCTGCTCTACTGAAAGAGGAGAAGAAAAGAGGCCAAGCAGAACTGGAAGGGACAGTTTGGACTCTTTGGCTGAACAATGGTAAAAAGCTCAAAAAAACCATTCAGCTCTCAACAGAATGAGATGGGGATGTTTTAAAAATTTTTATTCTTTTACCACAAGCCAATCTTTGTAATAAAAAGGCTGATATACAATGAGGATTTCTTTAAATAGCACTTAAACGTGTAAAAACACTCATTTCCATTAATCCATAAAGGCAAAAGTCATGTTTTGATATTCCTGGAGTTTTCCTGGAAATTCTTCCTGAATCTATTCAGACATAACTCAAACTCACAAAGCTTGTCCTACACGTCACTTTGACAAAAGTGTTCGTGCTGCAAACATCGTGGTTGTTACCTGTCAGTTTGTGTGTAAGGGGATAAAATAAGAGGTTTAGAGCAATCATTTCCCCTTTAACATCTTCTCTTAAAAGAAAATCTGGAGGTGTTTGTCAGCCTAAATTTTGATATTTTCTCTGCCAATGGATCAAACTACCCTGATAGTAAAAAGGAAATAAAATCAAAATATATGACATCTTTGGATAAATCTCCTTTCTTGAAAATAATTTAAATATAAAAAAATAACATAGCTGAAGCCTGTAGAAAATGCCCAGTACTCCAATTATTTGAGATAAATTCTACATAGCCCATTTTTTTTTTTTTTTTTATAATATGAGTTTCTTTTGACATGATCTATGCATTTCCAGCTGCTGGAAAGGAGAAAAAAAAAAATCATTCCCAAGGCCATTCAAGATAAGCCATAGTTTCCTATCTCTTTTGACTGAAAATACCAATGAAACTTCTTCCAGTTATTCCCCATCTTCCTCTGGTCTCTTCTTATTAGTCTTATCATTTTAGAGCCTCCTTTGATATATAACCCCTTTATGTTGTGCAATGATAAATCAAAATAAAGTGCACCACTGAGTGATTTTATTGTTATTAAAAGGTCAGCGGTAAGAGGGTCGCATCCTATCACATATCCTAGAGAATTAATGGGAGGTGCATTAAAAAAAAAGGAGGCACTGTGCTTCTTGAATATGTTTAAAAGCTACAGCATCCCCACAGCTGGGCTTTGTGGTGGATCTTGCCACACAGTGTGGCCCAGGCTGCAAAGGCTGCAAGAAGCACGTCCCTGTCCTTTGCAGGGGGCTGCAAATGTCATCCCTGGCTAATGAAACACTGAATTAGTGCCGAGGTCTCTCGTGTAGAAGGTGATGTTTCCCCGGCACCTTTCAAGAGATCAGGGCCCGTCAGGCACCACCAGACTCTGCATTGTCCCCACCACAGCCCCCTGCTGCCCTGCCCTGCTGCCTTGGCAGGAAGGGTGGTTTGGGGACATTAAAACCTTCTTCGGAGGGCTTATCACCCCCTCTCTCACACAGCAATGACCTCTGGAAGATTCATTTACTTAGCATTTATTAAGGACCTGTCAATACGCTCTTCCGGAAAGTGATTTAAAATACATCACCGTGCCTTTTCCCATCACTTGCATCAATGCAACAGTCTGATCCTGCTAGAGCTTAGCATGATGCCCAGGGGAACATCCCCCAGAGCATCAGATTTTATTCCTCTCTGTATTTCAGGAGCAGCAATCTGAGCGCTGCCAGGTCAGGGTGGAAGGTGTCCAGCAGCAGCTGAAGACAAAAAAAAAAGACAAGGTAAGAAAATGCACAAGAGGCAACACAGAAGGGAATATGGAAAATGTGTGGTTCCTGACTCCCTAAGAAAAAAGCTGATGAAACACTCCCTCATAGAGGGGAAAATAAAGGGTTTATTTATTTTATTATAAAAGATTTGGCAAAATAAAGGGTTGGATTTCCCCTCCCTCAAGTTGCAACTTGCTAATTTTGGGGGGAAAAAAAAAAAAAAAGAGCAAAGACAAATTAAGCTGTTCATGATTGTACATTTTCAGGTTTTTACACAGCTCCTTTAAAAAAAAAAACAAAAAAACAAAAACATCCTCTTGTTTGGATGGAAGAACTCACCAGAAATCAATAACCAGACACAAACACTGACAGAATTAACTCTGAAGCACAGGCAGCAACAGGCAAGTCAAAACCCCCAAATCCCTGTGTGCACTGGGGAGCGTGGCACAGGCTCAGACCTCCTGTCCTACCTATCTGGGCAGCAAGAGGTCATCAACCACCCTTACCTCTCCCCTTGCTGTTCCCGATTTCTGGAGCAAACCAGCTGCCAGATGTGCAGACACCCTGCAGATCTCCTGCCCAGGACCGGCCCCCAGAAACCGCCCCATTTTCGGTGACTTTTCCTCATTCTGGTGTGCTCTGCCACCAGACGTGGTGCACAGAGCTCCAGGAGCTCAGCTGTGTGCAGAGAGGTCCACGCTGGCCTGGGAAGGGCGGGGATGTCAGGTGCGAGCAAAGCAAGCAGAGGAAGGAGGAATTACCGGGGAGGTGGCAGATGCCTCATCCCCACCGGCCCTGAGTTAACAAAGCACAACAGAAACACATCACACGGTGTTTGCTCAAAAATGGCTGGGGTGAGCTATTAACACTTCATTAATACGTGATGAAAGGCAAATTTAGAGAGCTCCCCGAAGTGACTGAGAACTCCGAGAGGCCCATAAATGTAATGATAATGTAATGTAAATAAGGCTGCGGAATACAAAGGTTGGGAATTAGCGTGTGATCTAACAAAAGCAGCTGGATATTACCAGAAATGCATTCCCCCATCTTCCCTCCACCTTCCCCAGTTTTGTGCAAAAGGTGATACTGGAAGATTATAAATTGCAAGAACAAAATTTTACATCTTCTGGGAAAAAAATAAAAAAAAAAAAATAAAAAAAAATGAGGAGCTGAAATGGAAAAAATACAGGTTTATATAGATACATCAAAATCTCCCACATTTGCCTTTAGTGGGTTTTTCCCTTTCCCCTCCTCCCCACCTCCACCCTGCCCTGCTCCCTGGTTATTTCTGTAGAAAATGCAGGGACAGAAAGCACAGCAGTATGCAGAGGACATAGTCCTAGCATTTCAAAAATTGGAATTGATGTGTTTCTTCGGACTATTTTGAAACAGTATCAGTCCTTATCTCACTAAATATTTTACAGCTGTGCCACCTGAAATCCCTAGAGGAGTGCCTGTGTTGCTCATTAACTCAGACAGAATTAGCTTGGGTGATATTGTCTGACTTTGGCCAATGACACCAAACACATTTTAGGCAGAGAGTGGATAGGAAGAAGTCCATTAACATTAGTATCTTTCTAACCATTAAAGAGGCCATTAGTGTTTGTGCTTATTTTTAGGATATTCAAAAAGGACTGAGTGAATCCACTCTCAGTCCCATAAATCCACCTCTGCCCATTTTTAGGTATTTATTTTGTGTCAGGATTTTGTTCCAGCCTTGAGGTCGCTGTGCCACCAGCCATCCAGGAGAACAGATAGATTTTCATGCAGACTTGAAACCAAAGCTGTCAGCGATCCTTTTCAGGCCTGTCACATGTAGTAGAAGCAGCTTCTCCTCCAACACAAGTGATCAAAAGAGGTGTCCACCCTGTCCACCATTAGGCTCCAAAGCATTGCCATCCATCCCACTAATTGTGATAGTCTCCCATTACAGTGAATCCAGAGCAATAGGGCTGGGATCCATCTCATCCCAAGACAGATGGCTACATTAGGGCAGGTGCTTCCCACTCTGGAATTCACTGTTTCTCTTTGCTGGCTATGAAGGAGGTGAAGCTGAGCTCAGATGGTGGCTGCTTTTTGGCTGCCATGAGTCTCTCCCTCACCGACATCTCCTTGGCCATTATCCCACCCAAGAAAACAGACTGGGAATGTGGCCTGGGAAGAAGCCTGCATGGAAAGGAAAAGCTTGAAATATTCTTCAGCAGTAAATCTATTCCCTAAAAACAGTTTTTTAGCAAGTAGATGGGAGAGATTTTCTTGGAGGCTCTGTGAAGAGTCAAGGAAGCATGGAAAGTTACGTGTCTTTGGGGGGAAGAGAAATTCCTCGCTTTCCAAGGGGATATTAATGACTACCAGATGGTTATGAGGCTAGGAAAAACAGACAGTTCAAGGATGCCATAAAATAGGACTCCTGCATCAGGCTACCCACTGCATTAAAGTATGAGGTATTCCTCCTTTTGTGAATGGAATCCACCAGCACTGATCTGTTCAGGCCAAGACAAGCAGGTTTACATCCCTGCCCCAGCCAAGCCCCCGGCTGCTACTCATGTGAGCCTTCACTGATCAGGTCAGTGAGCCCATTGCTCCCACCACCACATTCCTGGAAGCAATTTTTCACAGAACTGTAATGTGAAGTATGTTTTTCATCACTTCTGGCCCTTTACACTCTTATTCCACATCCCTCTGTGTGTTGGCTAATGTGAGAATGGTAGATTCTCACAACATTTGCCTGTTTCCAAACCTGGGATGAAAGTCTGGGGATTTTTTCATCTTTCCATGAGCCAGTTTGGTTAGCCTTATTATTGCTATTGGCACACAGATCAATAGTCATCAATAGCCAAATGCATAGCATTTGCCACGGCTTCTCTGGGTGGCAGGTCCTAACAACAACAGCCTGCTACTTATTAACTCAAATACATCCAGTTTTATATCAATTGACAGATGTCTGGTTATTTGGCACAAAAGCAGGAATTGAATTCCCAAGTACATGTTATTCAAAAAAATCTAGTTACCTTCACAAAAAATGCTAAACGTCTACTTCTTCCATGATGAAGAGCAGCTCTTCACATCCCTGGCTGAATTAAAGCAATTTATTTCCCTGTCTCTGAGGGGAAAAGGAAAAAAGAAAAGGTCCAGAATCACGTCCAAAGCTTAGCAAGGCCAATTGCTGACTAGCAAACATCTGTCCTGTACCCATGCAAACCCCACCAGGGAAGTGCAGGCTTCCCAAGTTCTGGGAAGGAGGACAGCAGCGCTGCTGGGTTCCCGGCTGGAAGCAATCCATGCTGTACACATGGCTTGGACGCAGAGAGCTGCAGGAATGCCACTGCAGTTTAACGCCAACCAGCGGCTCATGTTCTCATCCATTTTCTCTGCACACACTGCAGGGTTTATAAATCTCCACTTTGTATCCAGAATGTTCCTGGGAAACAGATTGCTTATGACAAGTATTTCTTTTTCTTTTTTTTTTTTTTTATTTTTTTTTAAATATAAGGTGGTTTGTTTTTTGGGTTTTTTTTAATACAACATGCTTCCATTGTGTTATATATTGCAGAAGACAAATTTCCCAGCTGGTAATTTCCAATCAATTATAACACTGTCGTGAGACCCTGTATTTTTATATCATACCATATATCTGAAATACATTGGAAAATATAAAATTATATGAAACTGATAATAAATATGTCTCAACAGACAGACACACGCATGAGAAAAATTTCTGATTTTCTTCTCTGCCATATTAAGTCTTTATGTATTCTCCACGTATCACTCTCCAAGGCTTTTGCTGGGAGTTTACCACTAGGAAACCCGCAAAAGTGAACAGCCTGTGCTGAACAGCATCCATTTAATTGCAGAAGCCGTTCTCTCTTAGCCTCAGAAAATCTCAGCCTTTCTTCATGTAACGAGCCATAAAAAATCCCTTCCATGTCCATTACTTGACACAATCCATGACAGAGCAATAGACCCAACCAACCCTGCTTAGAGGGGCAGCAGGTGGAAGAATTGGAGCACCAGACAGCACTGGCAGCTGGGGTGAGTTAACCATGCCCTCGCAGATGGGATTTGTGACCCACTGGTGAGCCTGCAGTCAAAGTTATGTGTCTTCTGATGGCTATCTCGGCCTGGAAAACTGGCATCTTTAGAAGCCCATATCTACCAGCTCTTAGAAACCCATTGCAAGCAGAACTTGCTACACAGGAGACATCCCCAGTGAGGAACAGAAGAGAAAGGGAGAGGCGTTTTGCTGAGAGCTGTTTGTAGCACACGTAGGTGCCAAGTCATGTAGCATCCCTCTCCCCTCTGCTCCCCTAGCCCCTCCCTGACATTAAGGAATACAGCCTCAAGGTAAGAGAAATCTCAGTATTCTCATGGGAAACTGGAACACTGAGAGCTCAAATAACTGGCCAAGATCATGTAGAAAACACATGTCAGAACACGTCAACTGAAAAGTAAATTCTTGCAGTTTCACACTGGCTATAAAGCCTTCCCCCCCCTTTAAAATAAGAAGGTCAAATGAGAGATTAGGACCCCTCCTCATGTCCCTGGGAGAAGCAACACAGTCCCAGGGTATATCACTGCATCTTCAGTTCAAAGGGGCACTTGCCTGTAGCAGAAATGGTTTGGATACAGAAGGGGGTGACTCTGTATACCAGACCCACCAAAGGGATCCTCCCCACTGCTTCAGGATGTTGTTTACTGTGTGAAATGGCCACAGTCAGGTATTGCCAACAAAAGAGCATCACAGAAACGTGTCCCAGCAATTGGACTCAACAGTAACTACGAACCTGGGGGGTGCCCCCCACTGCCAGTCAGGACACTGCCCCACAGGTGGGAACCAGGGGGTTCCACAGACCGAGCTTTGCTCTTAACCATGTTGTTCCCATTGGAAAAGGCACCAGGGTAGCTGGAAACAAGCCCTGTGTGACCCACCACAGAGTCAAGCAGCTGCCCAGGACCAATGGAGCTGCATTCACAGCAGAGTACACTGGTCTCACCATGGGGTAACAGCTGCTGACCAACATCTTGTTTCTTCCACGTGCTGCCCCCACAACTCTGAAAATGTCCTAGATGCATTTTCTTTCACCCACTTTTCCCCACTTTTTTTCTTTTTTTTTGGGGGGTGGGGATGCTGCAAAGCATTCACAGGAGGCACCACAAGTCTCTGCTTGGTGTGGGAAATATTTCCAGATGCTCTTGAGAGCACCTTTGATTCACAGCATGCTTTTTGTTACAGCTGAACAAGGAGAAAAGCATCTCCCTTCCATGAGGGTTTTTGTGGCATGGAAAAACAATTCGGAATCCAGGGCTGGGAGAAAATCTAGTAGAGTTCACCGTTTTCTTGGATTTTACCCTGTTCCAGATGCTCAAATTCCTCTTCCATCAGTTGTCACTGCCTATTCTTCTCCTGTTACTCTAGGGGGAAAAAAAATAACATTTAAGTATGAAGCCCCAAAGAGACACTGTTGTGTGTGGCTTGTTTTAGTTCAAACCTGAAAGCCCCAAAACAGAAGGTGGGAGGTTTTATAATCACGTATGATGTATTTAGTAACAAACTCTTTTTACAGATAGAAGAAGGCAAAAAGATCTTCCTGTCACTGGAAAGTTTTAGGGGTCTTCATGTGAGCAATCTGACATGTGTCAAACAGGACCACAGCACATCTTTTAGATGCCAGAGGACCACACCAAGTCAGGTGCCCAAAAATAGAAATTTTCCAAATAAGTTCAGAAAATCATGGCTACAGTTTCTGGTGCTTTATTTGACTTGACAGTGAGGAGGCCCTCAAACAGATTGAGTAAGCATTTCATGTCAAGAAGGTGAGATTCTAGGGATGCAGAAGCAATTTGGGGTGGCTTTTCCTAAAGCAGCCGAATTTTGCTCCCATTTTATGGAACTGGCTCAGGGCTCAGGGAGGATTTCCAGCAGCCACTGACTCTGGGAAGGTGCAGGAGCAGAAGGTGCCTTTGAGCACCACAGCATGCATGGGACACCACACCCTATCAGCAGCTTGTGGTCACATTAAGGAATACAGAGCCAGGTTTTCCCTATAATTTGTGAAATTTCTTTCTGATTTACATGTCAAACTCTGCACATGCAATCCAAGCTAACTTGGGTAAGGTTGCATGGGTGGTTTGCCCTCTTTTTTGGTACAGCAGATATCACATGGGTCAGGACATGCACTGGAAGGTGCCATTGGCACCTGCAGGATTAACCATGGCAGCCTGGATTTGCTCCCTGTAGCCCACAATGTGGCACAGGCACAGATGGCATGAACTTGTTTAAGGAGTAGCAGCTTAGGACCAGTGAGGTTCAGAGGAGACGGCGTGCTTGCAAAATTCTTATTCTCCAGTCTGTGACGTGCCAGCATTTCCCTCCAGTTCCTGCCTCTGCACTCACACTGCCAAGTGGCCATGATAACTTGATGTTTGGACAAAAATAATAGTTTCCTAATCTTGGAGCAGAATTAAACACACCATAAAGATGTCAGCAAAAGGTTTTAACCCACATCCACATAAAAGCCAGTACTGCTTACGAATACCTAGCAAGCCTTCATGGCTGGAGATGGCAGGGTCACAGCTGCTTCCATGAAAACTCAGTGCTGTAGCTGCTCATTGCCTGGAAAAAGGCCTCCACATACTCTTTCTACTTAGTGCATTAACCACAAAGTTGACCCACTGTGTGTCCCTGAACAGGGATATCTAGAGCACCCACAGGAACCTGGAGATGGCTCATCATAACTTCCCATACTACTTAGACTCCAACCACTTTAGGATTTTCCAAAAAATGCCATCATGAATCATGTGCTTTTACTGTAATGCAGTTAAAAATGAAAGTATGTTCCTATAAGACATTATTGTTTGCAACTAAAGCACACATTATGGTTGTAATTAGCACACAGAGAAAAAATCTGGTCTATGACAAGTGCAGGTGATCATGGTAATAATACCTGCACAGATGCAGTCCCTGGAACATAGCCCAGTCTCAACTCCATTGGTAATAAACCAAGGCAACTTAATGAATTTGATTGAATTTGTTCTATGTAACAGAAAAAGAAAAAAAAAATGCCCCAAGGGATATTTTTAAACATATGTGCATGTGTATGTGCATTTCAGATGGCTTGATAAATCCACAGCTATCTGGATTTGGAAGTAATCTTACCCAGTCTGTAGCCAACATGCTGGAAAAATTACTTTATGGGCAACAAGAATAATTCTTCTTAGCCATAAATCAAAGCTTTTCAGGAGGGAAAGATGCATCATGGAATTTTTTTGATTCCTCTTCCCAGAAGGTCTTACATTCAAGGCCACATTAAAAGACATTTTCAAATGAAAACTGAAAATAGTTTCAGAAAATAAGACAGCAGAAAGCACATGGGGTTTGGTTTAATGCTAAGGCAATATAGGCTGAAGGAGAATATTACCAGCAGTGATTCATCTGATGCAAGAGACTTTGCTTTCAAAAATAAAGCTGTACGACAGAAGGGTCAAAATTTTACCTGGGATTTAGGATTATGTTATCTGCAGTTCTGCAACATGGTGGCAGAGAGAAAAGTCTCCCTGATAGTGCTGATAGCGGGAATTGGAGACTGAGGATTAAGCAGCGGCACAGATAGCAACCAGCTTTCTTCTGTTAGCCTTTCATACTTTGCAAAAAAATTAGAAAAGGATGCCTGCCCACGTGAGGCAGACATAAGCTCTGTGCCCTGTTGTTGAGGCTCTGGGAAGGAGACAGATAACTACCGGAAAAAGTTGCATTATTATTTAAACCAGGGGTGAAGGAATGTCTGAGACCTTCCAAGAGGGCTGTGGTTTGGAGGAAAGTTTCCAAAACTCAGGAAGCACAGATGTGAAAAGGAGGGTTGAGCCCTGCTCCAAGCCTCTCAAACCAAGGGCACTCTTCAGCAGCTCCTGTTGCAAGCCAAGGCTTGCAGCTGTGCTGGGGACGTGGCTGAGGTGAACAGACTCCTGGCTATTGGTATGCCCTCCTCCAGCTGCTCACTTCTGCTCTCCTTCTGGGACAGTGGAGCTGCTCAGCATCCATGTGTTCAACCAAGGCTGCTGATAGCCCAGAGTCTCGTGGCAAAGCCAAATGGGTGGCAGCTGCTCCAGTTTAGGAACAGGCCCTCGTATCACTCAAACATTTCTGTGCCTGCAGTGTAATTTCCTTTATGCACCAGAGCCATCAGATATAAACAGAGGATCCCTCTGGGGATCCACGGGATTGAAATCTGCTGTGAATCAGACTGTTTTCCAGGCATTTGTCCATGGTGCAGAGGGAGTGCAAAGGAAAGGCTCCACTCCCCATTTTGGCACCATTCAGCCCAAACAGCTCTTTCAAACTCAGAAGATATGCAGATCAGACAAACAATGGAAGGAATTTTTTTAAGAAACAGTATTAAAAATAAAAAATAAAAATTCACTTGGCCTTGCACAACCAGTAAAGACAGTGCTGGAAGCCAGCAGTACAAGAAGCACTACCCTGCTTTGAATGTGAGGGGTTCGACAGGAGACTGCCGCTCCCTTCCAACCTCAACTACTCCAAGAATAAGGGTCAGAACAATGCTTTGAATTTTCTAAGGCTCCTTTCACCAATAAACCAGCCTCACACTTCTTTCCAAATGCTAAACTGCACCACACCCCATCAAGACCATTTTTGTGCATTTTAACGACTGTGGAAGAGCTTAAGGCTGTGCTGGGTTGAAAAAACAGATCCAAATCTCACAAGTGAGTGACACAGGCCCAGCAGAAGAGCCCAGATCTTGCAACACCCAAACTAATGCCATAACCTTGCTTATTAAAGGCTGCTCCCTCCCCAGCTGCAATCCCAGGCACAACTCTGCGCTGCGGGTGCATGTGCTCCTCACTCGCTAAGATTTGCTCTTCCCACAGCCAGGCAAAAAATCCCAGCCAGACCCCGTGATGGGAGACAGATGCAGAGCCACTCCCAACATCCTGCTCTGCCTCACGCACTGTCTACCACATCACCACCTAAATTGGTTCCAGCATCATCCTCGCCACTGATGAGGTGCAAAGCAGACGAAACGCAGCCAGATCTCGCTGTGCCAGCTGGAAGAGGTGAGCTTTGGTTGTACAGCAATAGACTCAACTCAAACGGGCGCCATCAGACAGATCTAGTGCCAGAAGTTCTAAATACCTCTTTACATCACAGGAATCACTTGCACCTTGAATTTGTCCTCGGTGCCGCACAACATTACCCACTAACGTTACAGAAGCAGATAGGAATGTCCAGGTTGAGCAAGAAACTGCTTGAACAGGTGCCAACACATCCCAGACTAATTGGGTAAGAAAGCCAACGTCCATCCACCCTGTTTGCTGCATTCCAGGTCTAAATTCATCCCCCATTTATTTGCTCCGCTGCACCAGGGCCAACATGAAGGTGTGTTCTGGCCATCAGAGCCAAAAAAACTATTAGATTGGGTCATGCATTCAAAAAGAGAAGCTGAAGAAAGAAGGCTGGGGGACTCCTACAGAATGGCAACAGGAGGTGCATTGTGACAGGTGTGAGTTGGAGCACAGGGCTGGCATTGGCTCCTGGATTAGTGGTGGGATCGCACAGAGGCAGCCTGTAAAGCTTTGCTCTGGGGAAGAACATCACATGAAGAGAGTAGATAGGAAACAGGGATGGGAGACAGCAGGGAACCTGATAGGCAGATTTTGGCTGCTTGCAACAGGATTGCAGTGCAGAAGAGAGGCTGGGCTTGGGCCAGAGCTTCTCAGCAACCTTTGGTCCCTGAGGCAAATGTGGTTGACAGCCTCCCTGGTTTAGCTGTGCAACAGGGTACTGTTAGATTAATGGCTGGACTCAATGAGCTTAGGGATTTTTTCCAACCTTAATGATGCTGTGATTCTGTCACTGAATTTCCTAATTCTTCTGGCACTGAGCTGCAACAAGAGGAAGCTGAGCTGCAGGAAAACACCACAGGCTAGCACGTGCTCAGCACCAGCAGGAGTCAGAAGTGGCTTAGTGCAGTGGTGGACTCTGCAAGTCCAGTCCTGGGCACAGGACCTTATGGGAGAGCCTCTCTCATGTTGAGACCAGCCAACAGGAATCTGAAGGCAGAAAGTACAGCAGCTGCACTGGACTGGACAACTGGATGAAGTTGGATGAGGTTTTCCAAAAGGAGATGGTAGAGCAGAGCTCACAGGACATGATTCCAGTGCTGTTTGTAAGGAGTTGGCCCCTTGTGCAGAGGCTGGGTTTCTGTTCCTGTCCCACGCTGCCACGTGTCTTCTCCAAACTAGGCACTGTACATCATCTGCTCAAGCATCAGCTTCCTCAGCTGCTGCCCCTCTGGATCCAGCTGTGCCCTCTGAAATTGGGCTTGGCTGACCAAGGCTGTGCAGAGGCAGAAAGGGGTTCACAAACAGTGAAGTGCACACGTCAGTTCTGGTAT